CCTTCGGAATGGAATGAGGCAATCATCTCTCCGATTTTTAAAGGCGGTGACAGCGTTCTACCCGCAAACTACCGGTCTGTCAGTTTGACAAGCGTTGTAGTCAAGATGTTTGTAAAGCTGATAAGGGATTCAGTGGAGAACCACCTGAATGGATTCAACCTTCTCAGTGTTGCGCAACCCTGGGTATTGATGTGCGTTGTGTGTCCGAAACTAGGATCAATTACCCTAACGGGGTTATTGAATTAACTGCATCCGGCTTATCCTCTCGTTATTGGTTGCACGCATCCGGAGACGCCGATGCAGCACTCACGCGTCAAGCTGGTGTAGGTATCATTCTAAACTCCAAGGCTGAGTCATCGTTGGTTGATTGGATTCCGGTGAACAGCCGTTTATGTGCAGCCCGTTTGACGACATCATCCAAGACTGATTCACGAAGTAGTAAAAAACGCCGTTTGTTCGTGATTTCCGCTTATGCTCCCACCGATTGCAGTTCAGATGTTGTTAAGGGCACATTTTATGAAGAACTGAACGCGCTGCTACGCACTGTTACTAGTTCAGACATTATAGTACTTGCAGGAGATGTGAACGCACAAGTAGGGCGTCTGAGCTCTTCAGAAGCTCAGCTGGGTGGTAGTTATGGGCTTAAGTCCGAACGGACTGACAACGGCCAGCGTCTGTTGCAACTGTGTGCGGAATACCATCTGCTTTTAAGTAACGCCACTTTTAGACACAGTGGGCGCCGAAGTGCCACTTGGCGTCCTCCCGTAGCTGGCCAGCGATGGACCCAAATTGACCACATAGCCATAAGTTACAGACGGCGTTGTAGCGCCTGTAAATTTACTTATCTTTCATTGTACATTCCTTTCCTCTTACAACCAATTCTTGTACATTAACCTATACGGTTCTCTGCCGTGTATAGTAGTGCATGATCTCGTTCCGTCTCAACTGGTTTCACCATCGTCGTTTGTCATCCATCGGAGTGGCTGACGCAAGAGGACTAGGAAGTTTTATGTGGTTGGACTTCTAACCCACGTCGAAACCCTTCTGTGAGTCTTGTCATTTCTGATCATCATTTATTCATCTTTATTTCTTTTTGGGTCCGAGTCCACTACATAATTGGCGACCCCGAATTTTTTCTTAGTACTTCATTTTTTTGTAAGCTCAGAACTCCCAATCATTTTTTTGCATGACTACTATGGAATCCAAACCTAGTTCGAGTACGGTTCCCTGGGAAAACCATATTTCCTTTAATTTACCTGCTTTTGGTGCATCTAATTCTCGCGTTTGGTTTACGCAAATTGAGGCATATTTCCGTTTCCGTAGGATTACTACACAAGACACTATGTTTTCCTATGTGGCTACTCAGCTCCCTACGGATATTCCCACTGTGGTGATCGACGTCCTAGACCCAATGCCAACAGAATTTCCCTTACGATACCCTTAAAGCTGCTGTGTTAAAACGCACGACCGCTTCAGACGAGTCTCGCTTAAAGCAACTCCTATCTGGTGTTGAACGTGGCGACCGCTCCCCATCTCAGTTACTGCGACACATGAGAACCCTAGTTGGTAGCTACAAAGTTGATGACTCAGTCCTGCGCCAACTTTGGACTAAATGTCTACCGCCCCAGTCTCAAATATCATTCCGCAAATTGCGCCTCGATTTCATAATGCCCAGGGAGATGTTGGACCGCAGGCCACAGTATTCGAAAGAAGTCAAAATCGCCAATAAGCAGGAAGTGGGGTTGACTCATGTAGTTTCTTACATGCAGCAAGCAATCTAGACGTCGAGTTTGCGGGCTGAGATAAGCTGCACACATAAACAAATCACATTGTCTCAGACGGATTGAGCACCATGAATGCTCACATAGGCCATCTTCGCTGTGGTAAGTGTGTACCAGTCTCCCGCACAGCGAAGAGCGAATGTGGGTACGACGAGTGTACCAAAGCGTACAACGCTGTGCGCTAGTCCATACACAGAAGCTTGTATGGAGGTTGGAAATGACCAAAGGAAAGCTATGCCATCAGTGTACTTCGAGTAGACGAGTTGTTCACCCGCTGGAACAAACATCTCAGAAGATGCGGAATCTCAGATAAGCACAATTTGAGCAAATAGATTGGGAAGGATATGTAGGGTAACGGTGATGCGCCGCAGCTTGTGGTGCGGATTAGTGGAGACGAATTTCTCTAGAAGCTCATTTAGGAGTTTCCCTCACTTGTCCTTCAGGAAGGGCTGTAGCAGCAGCTGTCAACGCTCAAGGAGTCGAAGGTAGCTTCTAAGTCAAAGAAGACCAACGTAGTCAGTAGCGCGTTTCTGCATGTGAGACCTAGAAGAAGCCGACCTGGTTTTCAGTAGTTAATATTGTAAGAAAACCGGTGAATCGCGCAGAACAATGCTTATGGAAAGCTTCGGGGTGACGGTAACAAGAACAACGTCTCAATAGTTTTGCATCACATTTTACGGCCATCTTTAAAATGGGGATGATGGCTGATGACAACCAGAGTGGAGGTATCTCTTCAGTGTTCAGGTCAGTGTCAAAGAGAACGGATAGAAATCCCCCGACTTCCGACAACGATGAAGAAGGGTTAACGGATCTACACCCCTCGCTTCGAACCAACGGAGAAAGTTCAGAGCGATTCTCCTCCAAGACAAAGGAGTCACATCAACGATCGCACAAGTTTTAGTGATCAAGCAAATGATGGTGTCAGATCAAGTCTGAAGAACAAGTAAGATGATACATCGAATGAGTTCGTCAGCGAATCTGGGGCTGCATTAGCTGCCCACCTCTCTCAATGATTGTCTCGCCACCTGGAGACTTTATTGGACCTCGGATGTTTACAATTCAAATTGAAGTATTCTATTTTACAGGCCTTCGTCACTCAGCAATGCTAAGGGACAATCCTCAGATTAGAAGTCACAGGTTGTCTCAGGATAGGCTTGATATGCAAAAACTGAGTATCAGAAGGAACTTATGCACACATTTCAGTTAGACTAATCGAAGTTATAGAAACACATCAACAGTTCGGATGTCGCAAGTTGGGTAGATAAACGGCATCTAAAACCTTATCCATGGCGCAGACGAGATTATCCCAACCGAAATCCGACCTGTGTAAAAAGCCAGTCCACTCTGAGAGTTCTGCCAAGTGTAATGCGTCGCATGGGACGCTAACTCGCATTCTGGTCCACGAATGCTCACGTTTCTACATCCGATCTTGATCGCCATCTGCGCGGAATACGAGTGCACTTGGTACTCGCTCAGGTTGCAAGCTTGGTTGGGAAAGGCGGTGGGTTAGTTGAAAGTGGGACTGGGTGAGAAGAATGCGGAGTTGAATGGAAAAGAAAGAAAGAAAACGTTAGCGGTAGCACATTTTTACTTGTCCACACCGCTGTATTCAGCAGGCAATGCGGCCCTTTACCCCACTGCGCGACGGCTGATAGACCAGGAAATTATTTACAGTCATGACTGCCATACTTGTTGATGGATTAGTGTGCTAACATGACTTCCGCAACTGAACATATCAACTTTGGTCTTCAGCCTAGTCCTTCGATAAAATACACACCGGAAAGGCAATGGGAAATGCACCATGAGTCAATCAACTTGTTATAAGCTTCGCACTAGACGCGATTCCGAAATTGACACTACTGCTCCACAAAACTTCTAGCCCAACCGAAGAAAAAAGCAGAACGCCAATGACCTTGACAAAATCATATATTAATCGCCGTCAATAAACACTGTACAACTACCGCGAACCTTGGCTGTAGTTATAGGTCTCTTACTGACCTTCGACTTCTAGAAATGGAACGTCAGCTACCAAGGTTAGTAGTTCACCATAGCTTTCGCCGAGGTGTCAGGTGGTTTTTAGTCACGTGCAGAAACCAGAACATACCAGAACGTTCGAAATCGAGGTGATAATCGTTAATAAGCGATTAATCGCTAAAGTGGTAGATTTTCTAGGCAATTCTTACTTTCTCCAGTAAATCACTCAAGGACGCAAATCAACGCACAAGGTTAAGGTTCTGTCTATTCGCGATTGTATATGAAACGCGTCTCATAAATATGATCGTCAGTATAGTTCAGTGATGCAAAGCAATTTCACATAGAAAGCAGAATGAAACAAACGAACAAGACTACTCGCAAAATGCCTTTGTGCAGTCAGGGTTTGGAAATCCTGGAAGTACTCTAGAAAGTGTATAACCGCTTGTGATTGCATGATGGTGATGATAGAATTACTCTGAGATCAAATAACACGTGCAATCACCACCTATTGCATGTAGTGGCCGGAGCACCGCAAAATACCTTGCATCCGCGAAGGCCCGAAGCGGTGAACTATGGATTACAAACAGAGCGCCGAAACCACTCGGCAGCCAGGCCGGTGGTTTAAGTGGCGCGAAGACGCGCCGAAGTGAAAGAGGGTAGATGGACTCACATTTACAAGATTCGTACAAGACACGTTTGTCTTCTGGTACGGCTAATTTGGCCTTCCCCAAAGGTGAAGCCGAAGATTTATCTTCACGAGGGAAACCATTTTCGATAAGCTGATCTTCGGTTAAAAGGTAAGGAAGGAGCTGGGTGTAGAGCAAAGGACCTAGAGGATAAAATGAAACAAAAGACACTTATTAGATGTGGGCATAAGAGAAATCGAGAAAATTGTGACGAAAGTTCGTCTGGGTGCGACTTATAATTGTGCAAGTCGGAAGCAGAAAACCGGCCACAGCTCTGTGACATTTTGTAGTGTAAATTAGGAGAAAAGGTTGCATGAATAAAATTGATGTTATCTACACTGTAAGAGCATATGACAACTGGTAATTGAGGAGAAGAGTATAGCAATAAATACTTTGTGGAGATAGATAGCATGCGGTAGTAAAGGGCAGCTCCACGAATAAGAGAAAAATAAAAGATGAAACTCATGCCGGATTGCTCGGCTCAAAACTGTCACAAAGTGCCAATAGTGGTGGGGAGGATTTGAAGCCCTTAGTAATGATATAAAAAAGGAGTGCTGACCTTGAACTGCCTCGCTTAACTTTTCTTCGAGTAATTCCTGCTCAGTCTTGAGTTGTTCCGTTTGCTGAGAGTTCATATCACTTTTTGGCCCCGGAGGCTTGCGTAGAGAAGAGGGTCCGAGTTTTTTCACCCCATCGCTCTGAACTTTCAGTTTCTCATTTTTGAGTGACTTCAAACAATGAATGACAGCGTTCAAATACGCCATTCGACTAGTGGCCTTGTCATGACAGGTCTGTTCATCTGTGAGTGCCTATGCAGAGAGAGGAGCGTCAGAAACCAAAAATGGAGAAAATGACAGGCGAGATGCGAAAGATCGTCACCTAGTAAAACGTTAGTTCAGACAGTTGAAGAACTTAAAGCATCAAAGCGGCAACTAGTTCCTTGTTCAGCTGCAAAACTTCGGTGGAAATCCTCTCCAATTGAACACATGGAGGCAGTCTGTAATAGTAGAGTTATAGGTGAAGATAGCGCTTGAAAATTCAAACATGTTCATGAATGCGGTGAATAACACCTAGCCTAGTAAATGGTAAGCAAACAGTCAGTAGCCGCTATAACGAAGTAGACAGAGCAATGGGTTAAAGTAAATAAGGGTTGAAATCCGAGGCTATACCAGCAGATATATAGTTTAAATTCAATCAATCGTGAGTGAAGAAAGCCGGGTGAAAAGCGGGCAATAATTCTGAGCACACAAGTGCCTAAATGCAATCATGGGTGAGACATATGCTTAATAAAACGCACTGCTCAACTGGAGGTAAACAGAGCAGCGTAATATTCAACGAAAACTCCATTGGTAGGTATAGTGATGCTCGTGGATAGTTCAATAGGAGAGATCAGCAAAATATACGATAAAAAATGAGGGGCACCATTCCGCGGGGGGGGGATATTGGTGAAAAATGATTAGTCAGCAGGAGACATACAAGCAGATGATATTCAACTGACATTAGTGACCATCCTTTCGCTTGTGATAGGGATCAAAATTGGACGGAAATAGAAATTGGGGGAATACAAGCAGCAACTGCGGTGATGACGCGGTACCAGAGACATAGGTGTGCAGAGAACGGGTCAAGAAAATAGTTCGGTTAAAGCTTTTCCCGTGAATGAGCACTTACAACAGAGGCATTCAGCCATCGTTCACAATCAGGATGACACTTCTCGAGTACAACGCAGCCGGTCGACTCGATCGTATCGTGGAGTGCGCCGTTACAACGCGTACGATTCCAGCCACAGTAAAGCACTTAACTTCGGGGTTAATGACCGAAATTCAGAACTCATAAATTAGAATAATCGAATGGAGTAGAAACTATGACTAGTAATGAAGAAGATAAATGGGACGGACCAGTGATGTCACGTGTCGCATACGATACGCAGCGAAAAAGATCATGAAAACCGCTTGTCAGCCACAATTGGGACATTCGGTAAATAGCTGAGCTCTAAGATCTCGACCAACTTGAGGGAAGAGCAAATATGACGCCATCGGTCAATCCGCAAGATCGTGAAACGATGTCAAACTGACAGTTTCAGAGTGGATCTGGAGAGTTCGTGGAGAGTAGTGGTGTAGCTGCACGTTTCTCCAAGGCATTCGACTCATGCATCCCAAACATATTCGAAGACGGAAAGAATCACTGACAACAACGAAGAACCAACGGTTTGAACAGTGACCGAATAATCCAAGGAAAGGTTTGGCTTACAGGGAGTGTGACCATCAACGCAAACCAACTGAATCAACCTGTGCCACTGACGCCAATTATCTTGCCACTGGTAAGATACGGTGCAAAAACACTACCGTTGAGACGGAAAATGGTGTATGATCAAGATTCTTGTTCGCCGGAAGTGTCAAAGAACAACAGTAACTCGCCGATAGGTAGGTTACCTCAGTAAAAAATGATGCATGAGGGAGACACATTTAGTACACCGGTACTTAAAAGTTGTCCAAATCTTCACAGAGCTGTAAGACGACGAGCAAAAATAAAAGAAAAACTAGATCAATTGCACGAAGCCTCGGTGTTCCTCGAAATAGACGAACAAGAAAATGCGGAGAGTGATTCATCCGACATGTGACACATAAGTTATGTACTACAACTCGATTAAGCGATAGAGATTTTAAGCATGAAAAAGAATAATAGTCAGTGTCCTCCTGAACTTGAAGACTCAATCTGATGCATCTAAGCACCCCCTACACTTGAACCCGTTTATCACTGGAGGAAAAATAGTGGGAACTTGAAATAAATATGAAATTTTTATACCCCCCTTCTCGAAACCGAGTGCATGGGCCTGCAGAAAGCTCTCTTCCTGTGTGAGGAGTGTTAATAGCATTTTAATTTTTAGTAAAAGTTAGGGGATTAAAGCTACTATCAAATAATCTGTTGTCGTATCCTTGTACTGAAATAGACAATCTCCTATGTGAACTCCTGACAAGCGCAGAGTACACAAATGCCATGGTTTTCTTAAGGCATGCTAAGGCTCCTGTCAATGTGAGACCAAAGACAACGTGAAGTACTACGTGTTCCGGTAGGGGTTTAGCATCTGAAAAGTTCAAGATAGGGCCGAAGCATCACTAGTTCTCAGAGATAATAGAATAGATTATAGATAAGAAGCGACCTAGTAGCCTACTTGTCTAGAGAGGAAATCATAGAAGAAACTCCTGTAGCTATCAGAAAAGCGAATTTGGTTTCAAATGGATCAGTAACCAATAGAGACTACGGGAGTTCGGTTCACAGCACGACGCAGCTGCGTGAATATCTTGTTTAGTTCGGATAAAAAATCGCCATACTTTAAAAATGCTTGTTGATTGCTCGCCAGCAAGCCGAGGAACATGATACATCAATCAAATCTGGTCTAACCACAGAGTTAGTGACGAGTGTTCGCTAGCGTGTTTAGCAATGATCACTATAGTACAGGATGCGATTTTGTGCTTGAGTTGACAGCATATTTCGGCCAGTTCAGCACATACCGGGAGAAACACCGTTTGGTGAGTGCACCACAATCGATATCGTGCTTAGTGGAGCGGGGAATAAAGTAACTAGTTGATCAAGTGGTCAGACAAGAAGCTTGACCGAGTTAGTGTATGCTGTCTTCTTGGGTAGAGGATGCGATGCCAGTTAAAGCTGGTGTTACATACGCCATCTGACTTGGTGCAGAAGTAGAGTGAATGGCAACCTTGTATTCGATCACTTGCACACGACTGCAGGCCAATAAACACTCCGTGTCCAGTGGAGATTACATAACAGAAAGCAAATGACAAAGCAGTAAGGATGAGCAACGAAGAGTAGGTTTCACACTAAAACTGACGGGAGCTGAGGGATAAGTGATACCAAGCCAAAAGGGGAAATCAAGAACCATATCACATAAACATAGACAAGGTGAGACATCACACAGGAAAGATGTAATGAACTGGGTTGCGTGTAAAAAGGGGGACAGAATGTGTGTTGGCCTGCTTACATCACCTCAAAAAGGAAGGTGCAAAAAGAGTGAGACGCAAAGGGGCCAGAATTAACCATATCGCAACTTCGCTGTGCGTCACGCATACACTGATGCATATGTTAGTATACAATAAAATGGTGCTTAGTTCTCCGAACGAGTGATGAGTGGTGCATTGAATGGTGGCAAAAAGAACAAATGGAGACGAAAAACAATGATTGCACAAGGCCGTGGCTAAAGACCAAAGGGGACACAGATGCAACAACGTGTGTGTATGGAGAATTAGGTGGGAGAGAAAGGTACGTACCCGTTCATAGGCATCATTGGGGCACTCGTAAATGACAAGGCATTCTTCGATGAATTGATCCAAGTAGCGGGTACGAATAGGCATTGGAATCTTGTCACTTTTATATAGAGGAACTCGTGGCCGAGGCACCAATGCAACCGGTGGTTCAGAGATGCGGTCCGGGCACAACTGAAGAGAAACAGTGAAAAGGAGCCTTAATGCCTCTGCAAAAGAACTAAGTTGGCTGTCAGTAGACACCATGATTGCAAAGCCGATTACAACAGAGAATAGACATAGATGCTTACCTCGTCGTCCTTTGCCACAGTAGTTGTCTCTCTCTGCGTACTTTTCGGCAGCGGGCTTCCTAAATAGGGCGCGATGCTGGTTTGCTGATGCCCAAGAGATTTCGTCTTTGACGAAACAGAGGTATCAGATGCGGCTTTTGAAGACAGTGGCTGATCGCCGTAGAGGTCTTTATACAAAGAGAGCAGTTTCTGACGCTTGATGGCATCAGCATTTTCGGTCTCCTCGGGTTCATCCTTGATGACACGGTTGTCACATGACATAGGTGGGTTGGGGCTTTTTAACTCGGGTTGGCTCACAGATTGTTTACGCTTCAGCTTTTTCTCCTGAGAATTAAGCTCCGTACCAGCAGCGAGGTTCTGCTTATCATCTTTTTCACTCGAACTACTTGGGCTGAAAATTTCGGATTCAGCACCATCACTGGTCGGGGCTGTGGCTGTGTCTATGGACGGATTAAAAGGTTTGGACACACGATCATCGGTCATGGGAGGATATGCTGGTGAAGGCTGGTACACGAAAGGTCCGAGGTAACTCGGTGTGGGTGGGGGATCGATCCGGTTAGGCTTGAGGCGAACGACGGGAGAATATGTCGGGGGCTCTGAAGGGCGAATAAAAGACTTGTCTTTGTCTTCCACATCGATACCGGGAACAGTTATGGAGCTGGGAGCATATTTCTCCAGTTCCCTGATTGGAGTGGGCTGGTAAACAGGAATGGGTAAGGCGGAACGAGTTGTCTCTGTTCCATTTGACAGCTTGGGATGTGATACGGTAGGCCGGATTGAATGTTCCGTTTCGCGCTTTTCCAGTAAACTAATGGGTGTTGGTTTATAGACGGGGGTGGCTGAATCTGGAAAGGTCTATCGCGAATAGTAATCAATTACTGAATAAAATACCTTTGAAACGACCGTATCCGAAGGCGCTGAATCCGCTGAAGAAGAAATAAACGGATAGTGCTAATCATTATATGGAATAAATGCAAAAAAGTATTAAAAGGTTTTGTTCATTATAAAATCCACCAAGGCTACACAATGGCATTATCATAAAATACGCCCACAGAAATGTAAGGATCCAATTTATTGAAGGAACTTCTTTTCAAAAATTCTCATCGACGAGGCCAACCGTCATGTATTGTGCGCACGGTCATCACCATTAAGTGGAAAGTCGGAGTGACGAACGATGCAGCCAGTTAGGAAGCAACCAACTATGGCCTAGCGTATTAAAGTACCTTAATCCATTTTACATATGTAATAACTTCATGAGAATTGTCGAAAAGAAATTTCTCCGCCGAATTAAGTGTTTCCAACAAGATCAATCAATACATTTAGTGAGGAGAAGGAAAAACCATGTCGGCCAGAAGCGCCGCACCCATGTACTGCTAGTGACAATGCCACAGCGGGACAAAGCGCGGGGTGAAACCACAGCTTGTTTGATTAGACAGAGGAATGTCATAAGGGTAGAATAGGGCAGCAAGTTTGGAAGAAAGTTGATACAACCATGAAAATGACAAAATGTAAAAAATAATGCATACGTACCGATCTGGTTTCTGCAGAATTAAGATGACAAGGCCGGAGTGAATCGAGACCCCAAAATGTCCAATGGGCATTTTGATTAGTAACTGGAAGGCTCACTGTGAGCATGTTTTATCTACATCGTCATTTGCAAGGAAGCGACACAAAAATACGGTAGGAGCTGAAGGACACGTACTCAACATCATTTGATGCAGAATGCCGCTGATTATCAGGTGTACAAGACCCCTAACACAAACGTCCGGAAGGAATCAAGGTTGTGCATTTGACCGCAAAAATAGTAGAGAGTTGATTGGAAGTACTCATGGACAAAAAACAAATGGCAGCGATAATTTTTAAGCGTGAAATTCAAGACGTTTCAATGACTTAAATAACGCGTTGCGGAACGAAAATTGGTAGATGATACAGGAGGGTTTGGCTGATGAACTTCAGGATAGGGGCAGAAGACAAGTTAATTTTTCCATGTCAACGGCAGTCTGAGGAAATTTTGCTTACACAACGTAAAAATCATCTGACTAATCGCGACAAGCTCAACGAAACCCGGAAGGCAGGTACTAGTGTCTCATCAGATTTTGTATGCTGAGTTTAGGCCACACGTGTAAAAACAGGCTAGTAGACATAGCCCCATAAATGAGGCGAAAATTTCATGCGCGAAAGGCATGAGAAGTTGGGAGACGGACAAAGTCATGTTGAGCCCGTTTTGGTACACGTGCTTTTAGCATGGACTTCAGCGTCTCGTAGACTCTACTGATGTGTCATTACAGCAAGTACAGGTGAACTGGAATATGCAGTGGAAGTTTTTCTTCTTTCATTCACTCATGCAGCTAATAAGACAGTTTCAGGTAGCGCAGTATGTTCTATGAACAGTGAAAAGTATACGCTCTGTTGATTGTATGGTGGAGAAATCCTTCTTAAATGGGAGTTCGATGAAAACTTTCTGTGGCCATTCTCATCTATCTAGTGGTCAATCAACTTAAACTAGACGTTTTTCAACAATATTACAATAGAAATTATACTTCTTCTTTCAAGTTATCAGGATTGCATGATCTTCGCACACAGTCAAATATCTCGGTTGAAGTTCGCTTGTACCGTACGAGAGTGCGAGTACTGTTCAAATTGAGTCGGTTTGCAGTGAGCGGGTTTCTCGATGAGACTTTTGTCTGCGACTAGTCTGTAAGTTCAAATATGAGAGGCAGTTGTTTCCCTCGAGTTAGCAGGTGATTTCCAAATTAGGGCACACCCTATTGTACGAGTCGACAAGATGTGTGATTCGCTTTTATAATGAACAGAACACTAGCATGTCAACAGCGAATCGTTTGCAGTTAGAAAGGTGAGCTAGTACCGCGCTCATCTTCGTCTCAACAAACAAAATGAAAAAGTCCGCTAATACTGAAAGCACTGGGCTATCCAGAGGCACGACATCCGCTTGGTGATAGTGCTGTGGAAGTGGAAACCGTTGTTCTCCGTGCAGATTATTAACTTTTTCTAAATATTTCGATTTTTATCGGGAGAGATAACCATGAATGCTTCGCCAACTCGCACACATAGTCAGTGGTCCGGAAATGCTAACATATACAAGTTTTCGTTGTTTAATCGCGTTAGTTGAACTGTTAAACGTTTGTTGAATACAGTCCATGGTAAAAACCGGCCATACCGAGTAAGTTTACATGATGACATGACGGCGGTTTGAACTGCCGCTGGTACTACCTCCTCCCATTTTAAAGGTAACAGCTTCATCCACTAGTCACCGAATCCTCCGGTTACACAGCGAAACGTTCATCGTTGTGAACCAGATGGTGCTGCAGAAAAACTGGCATTGGTCATATCTTGAAGCCCCAGTTGGGCTGCCCATGAGCAACCGTTTGTTTACCATTCATCCTCATTTGATGTCCGATGTGGCTTCGCTCTACTCCATTACCAACAAAGTGCTTGCCTGTCCGCCGCCACCAGGACAATGCTGACAGTGGTCGGGGAGATGATGTGACAGTGCTAGGTCGCAAGAGTGATGCTATCACAGGGCGGATTGCGTACTTGCTAAGCAACCATCGATGCACGCTTCAACTTGAGCTGTGCTTGCTGCACCAGCAGTCCTGGGCATGTGCAGTAAAGAGCGAGGGGGTGCAGTAAGCCTTATAACAAGGTCAAAAGCAGAAATGCCAGTCTCTTAAAAGCAGCGTATATCAACATCAAGTGTATTTGGCGCTGCCTTGGAAGCAGCCAACGAAATTTGGCCGCTTGGCTAGATACTGTTGGACAGCAGCTGCCACCGCCTACACTGTGTGCTACAGAATGAAGGTTAGTGATGTAAACCGACTGCAGTGCAAGGGAGACGAACAGAATAAAATGATAGACATCCGTAATGAGACTTTCACGCTTGTCAGTCAGCGCTCGTTTGTTGACCGCAGCAGAAAGAAACTACAGTCAACTTGAGAATGAGGTTCTGGCCATTGTGCTTGCATTGAAGCAAGGCCACAGAATGCTATATGGCCGTCGGTTCAGCAAAACAAAAACAGACCGCAAACCGCTTATTGTCATATTCGGCTCGAAGAAAAGAGTTCCAGTACATACCATCAAGCATCTAGGAAGATAGGCGACAACATTGCTGGGATATGATTTCACCATCAAATACCGATCGACAAGCGCCATCAATCAGGCCGGTGCGCTGTCTAGACTGTTGGATGAACAGAATCAGGCAAAAGGCAGTGTTGTTGCGAATATTTCCATCGAAACGTAAGTCAATCGCATGCGTGCAGATATTTTAAACCAGCTGCCGGTATCTTTCAATCGGCCAAGATCACCATGATCGGGAAAGTATTCGGCTCTCCAGGAACGATTGGCCTCAGTTGACCACTTCGCACTTTGCTGAATTTTGTATGCTTCACGAAATGCAGCACGTTTGTTCACATCCTTATCATCGAGGAAGGATTTATGGATACCTTCAAAAGGGCTTTGCTGAAAGCTGAAGGAGACCGACCAATTCAAGAGGTCCTGCAAACGTTCCTGTTAACATACAGGATTAAGCGTAATCCACAGACGCCTTACGGATAATCCCCAGCAGAATCGTCCTTACTCAGGAAGGCTCGAACAAAATTTGATCTGAGAAAGCCGCTTGATAGACACAACTGTGAAAGAAATACGGTAATGGATCATCAATACAACGGAAGGCATCACGCTGTACCGCGGCATTTCGAGGTTGTACACATGGGGTTAGCAAAGGACTATCAGAACGACAAAATCTCCTGGACACCTGGATTGGTCACCAAAAGATACGGCCATGTCTGTTATGAAGTGGATGTAGGCGAGGACAAGTGGGTCCACCACATCAACCAACACAGAAAATGCACCCCACGCGATACGGAAATAGATGCTTTGGAGACTACGTCAGAAACACCTCCGGACGAGTTCAATCTGTCAATGAGCGTTGCCACTCAGCAAGATGAGTCCACCGATCCACGAACCCCTCCTTCAGATTGTCGACCAAGAAGGTGGATGGACCGGTGCAGAACCGTTTCAAGTTAACCACAGACTAAAATCGTGTAACAGTGGACTGCAAACGCGGAGGTGGTAGGAGGAGGACCTCCTTAAGAATCGAACACGGTGACACGTATACCTAAATTCGGATTCTTGACCTAGAAATCCGCAAGAAAGTCACATAAGTGGATCAGAAGAGTGATCCCGAACAGTCTGTTAGTAGTATTGGTAAGTAAGGAATGAACAAGAACGAAGAACGTTCAGGAAGGTCAAGCGCGCCATATAAGCACCACTAGCATGCGTCATGTAATCGCCCTGTCGCTTTTGTCAAATCAACTGATACTTGAAGACCCTTTTTATCAACCAACCAGAGTAACCGGAGTGATATTCGAGACCATAACACGAAGAGCGAAAAGGTCAGGAGAAAATGAAGTCCGCTAAAAGGGTCGAGGAATTTCAACCAACGGTGAGCGTGGACCAATCTATTGAGATGGGGAACAGTATTATTCAACAAACTGGGTTTTCTCGATCATCTCAAGTGGTCTCAGCTGATTGTTGGATCGTGGAGTACCTGTCATATCTTGATTGCGACACGCGATCTCAATTGCGGCCACGGTGTGCATTGAAGCAAACCATTGCCATTTCAATCACTGGGATCGAATCCAAAGTGGAGAGATTCGGAACAGTGCAGTGTTGGGACAGAGAAGCTCAGAAACCCTCCAGTGAGAATGTGGTCTCTGTTAAACTTCACAAGATATTCCCTCCAAACGAGAAACGCGGGTTTACAGATGATAATGGTTTGTTAAACGTTAAGCTGCTGCCGTGAACTGGATGTTCACATAGTGTGAATTAGAAAGTAAGAAACGAGCAACGACCTACAGTTACGTAGTGCCGGTCCTAAAGAATAATCCATTTAAAAGGGGAAAACTAATGAAGCAATGATAATTACGCGAAGGCTTAGGGAGAAAGTAGGAGAAATGTGTGCAATATTACATGGAAGGACATTCCCCCTGGTTTTAAATATCGGCAATTTTTAGGGATAGTAACACATAAACCACCTTTCAGATGATGATACATTACACCACCGTATCGCACATTTTGTGAAAATAATACTTTTACACTTGAATAATTTTTTAAGATTGCTACGTAATAGGTTACCATCTCGACATACCAGATCCTCGCGCTATCTAATTCATGGCAATTTTAATTCTCTTCCGTTTATAACAAAGGACTTTGAGAGAATTTTTACCCTCTTGAACGTGATGACAATTTAAGGAGTACAGAATGTTCCGGTGCCTGAAGATGAGTTGCAAAGTAAAATCGTGTTAAACTCAGTCCCCCCCCCTCGTATTACAAACATTAGTAATCATCTGTGAGAAGACTTACAAAACGCAGGTACAAACAGAGGTCAAAATTAGTATGTTACTTGTTAGGTAACATGCACACAGTTCAGATCGCAATTAATCAAAATGTAGAATACCGATCGTGTGTCTGACGCATGTCGAATTTGCACCTAATTGTGGCAAGCACAACAAACTAGTGTGTTGGGACCAGCTGTTCCGGAGCGGATCGCCCGTAGCGCTTTCAATAAACGTCTACCATTATTCATCCTAGCTAATTTGTGTGTATGCAGAGACAGGTAATCTCAAAGTGGAAAGCAATCTTATTACGGAGAGAATCTAGGTAGTCTCAACCGCTGGAACCGCAATTGAAATATGTGAACGTTGGGTTTTGTTAGTCACTAATGTTGCACTACATTGCCGCTTTCGTGCTTATCCAGAATATTCAAGTAAGAATGGTCGGAGCATCAAATAAGACTAGTGATGTCATGGCTTTGCGGTAAACGTTTCCTATAAGAACACGGAAAACCACGAACTCCGCTTGTCCGAACGGCTGGGAATTTGTTGACGGCATTTTGGCGCATAAGCTGTATACGTGACTTGAGACGTACTCTCAATTAGGACACAACATCTAGCTATTTCAACTACGTTCCCAATGATCGAAGTGACTGAAGGCTTGTACAAACTAAAATCCTGAATCAAACGGAGATTGAGTTGCAATCCATGCACATATAGAATCTATCCTACGACAGTCCTGACTGTTGTGACAAGCCTTGCTCGGGTAGCGCAGCTGCCTACTGCTGAAAGCATCCACCAGTGAGTTATGCGCTGTCAGTACCGAGTGGCGCGACGTAAGGAGTCGAAAAAATGACGAAAACGATCGTGCAGTGCAGTAAGAAGATCAAGTAAAATTTGTTATCATTATTGCAAGTCGACGAATAGGTACGGGAAATTGAAACACGGGGTGACAACGTGCTCACCAAATCAGCAAACATCAACCCAGCATACACAAGTAGCTACACAGTGCTAGTAGGAACCCACGTCAAATTAGTCGCGAAAAATTAACCAATGGCAAAACATAAAAGTCGGTCCCCAAATAGTGTTGCATAGATAGGAAAATGGAAATAAGACTGCAGCGAAAGAGCAACTCACGATTGGCGTGGCTGAAGTGACAGTAAGGTCTGTCGCACGAGCCAGCACTAAACATAGGGCAAACAAATTCCTGGAACAGCCCAGAGGTTGGAAACATGGGGACTGCAAGTAAACGACGGCCGGCGTGGTTTTATGGATGATGGGTAAATCTGAAACAGACGATGAATTTAGCATTCAAATCCGTAGCAACAATCGTGATGTGATTTCGAGTTCCGGTGAAACTAAAAAGTCATGGGTAAGTGCAAACACAATTTCCGTCAGGGTATGGGTGACAGGTGTAGGGATGATAAAGTTCAATCTCGATCGAAAATGTCATACTATATGAGTCCAAATTACAGGTATCCTAAATGCAGTAACCAGACAGGTGATGATTCTCTCCAAGCATAAAATCAATAGCGATTAAGGCGCGTGCACAAACAGCATCCAATGGGAGATTGAAAGATCAGTATTTATAAATGTGTATTGTAGAAAGTGCAGTTGATGACCCTCATGAAATATCAAAAGACTGAGCCACAACTCGAAGAACACAACAAGTGCTTCATTACTCTAAGCAGAAACAAGCGCAGTGTATGCAAAAAAAACAAGCTTCAAATAATGCTGTCGTTAGTGCTGATGAGCTTTATTCAAATGATCCGCTGTGAAGAAAGATCGTGAATAAGATGTTAATCCATTTAGTTCCCTCATCGACCTTTCAGTTGCGTATAACGGATTGCGTGTAACAGGGAGAAACATACAGCAGACCATCAAGACAAGCTACGATGACCAATCGAGATACCTACCGTGTGAAACATTGAACACAAAAATTGCTGAGAGCGATGATATTGCGAAGACTGTGGTAGTTGAGAATCTATACCGTCCGCTGTTAACCGGCAGGACGACCAAACGAAATACCGTGAATTGCCCGATAGCGACGACTTCGCAGTATGAATCGAACCGGTGAACTTTTCAGCACGGCTATTCAGTGGATCTGACGATCCTCCGAACTACATTTCGAAATGCATTAGTTTTTCTAACACATTATGCATCATTTCCTTACATTGGCTTCTCAGTGGGGGGTTATCAAAAAATACAGACCACAGCTGCGTCTAAAGAGTCTCGGCCGATGAACAAAAGGAGTGCGCGCTTGCTTTCAAATCAGGAGGATATCGGTTCGAATTCAAGTAGGTGCGAGAAACCTCGCGCCGCCCCCGTCTACGCACGACCGGTAGTTGCGTGAAATAAGGAGTCTGCGTTCCGCAACCTTGCTGATGCTCTGGACTACAACTGTTCTAGTCGACTGGATCCCAATCCATAGCCGAATATACGCTGTCAGATTGGTCGTCCTGTTCAAAGCTTGAGTTCAGGAGGGAATGGAATGGGAGAAAACTCCCGTGAGCAATGCTATCGGTTCTGGATTTGCCTGTTACTATAACTTCCACGGGGACAGTCACAGGACGCCTGTACCTACAGAGGGACCATGCGTGGCTTGGCTGCACCACCCGCAGCTACAACCACACACCCCATATCCATTGTAAACCCACAGTATTGTTGGCCCCCAGCTCCATCTGCTACCTCTGGCGCTCGCGCTGGGGCCGAGTGGTCTACCCCCACAGACCCTCCCTCTTCCCAGGAAATCGAGCAGGAGCTCCGGCACATGAAGCGTTATAAAGCCCCCGGCCCTGATGGTCTTCACCCAGCTCTATTTAAAGATGGTGGCGCATCGCTGGTTCGAGAACTCACCGCATTGTTCTCGAAAAGTTGGATGAAAGAGAAAGTTCCATCATCTTGGGGTGAATCGACAGTTGTCCCCATCTTCAAAAAGGGCCTGCGCACAATCTGCTCCAACTACAGAGGCATAAGTTTAGTCCCCGTCGTTTGCAAGCTGCTGGTGTCCATCATACTCCGCAGGCTATCCCCAACACGTGAATCGTTGCAACGAGAAGAACAAGCTGGCTTTCGCCCTGGTCGCCGCTGCATCGATCAAATCTTCACACTTCGCCAGATGCTCGACCTACGCCATGTGTATCAGAGGCCAACGATTGTTGTGTTCCTGCATACCCATGCAGCTTTCGATTCTGTCGATCGTACAGTACTGTGGCACTGCCTACTGAGGAATGGTGTCCACGAGAAGTTGGTCTCCATACTCCACGCTCTCTATAGTCTGACCTCGGGCAGGGTTAGGGCTTATGGCAAGCTTTCGTCTACCTTTGTGGTCTCCAGTGTAGTTCGACAAGGATGCCCTATCTCTCCATTTCTATTCAACTTTGCCATTGAGGATGTCTTGAAGAACGCTCTAGGTGATTTGTTGAACGCTGGCGTTGAGCTCTTCCCAGGTAGCCGAGTTGTTGATTTGGATTCTACTGATGGCATCGTCCTGCTGGGCGACGATCCACACGTCGTCCAACTTGCATTAAATTGCTTGGCAATTGAAGCATCAAAGTACGGTATGTACTTTTCGCCATCCAAATACAAGGCTCTTCCAAAACTGGCAGGTGCCCCTGCCTGCACTCACGCTTGCTGGTGAGACAATAGAGGTTGTGGAGAGCTTTATCTACTTGGGAAGTTGCATCACTGCTGGCGGAGCTGTTGGAGACGAGATTTCGATGCGCCTCTCGAGAGCACGCCGCGCTTTTTCTAGGCTGAAGCACTTGTGGCGTCGCCAAGACATTCGTCTCTCTATCAAAGGGCGGGTCTAGTGTGCAACTTTTAGTGCTGTACTGTTGTACGGATGCGAGACCTGGCCCATTCGTAAAGATGACTTGCGCAGGCTATCCGTCTTTGAGCACCGCTGTCTGCGGTCCATTGCTCGTGTGTGGTGGCAGCACCACGTAAGCAATGTGGAAGTTAGACAGCGTGTCTTAGAACGTGGAAGCCACTCGCTCAAGGAGCTCGTCTCACTGCATCAACTGCGGTGATTGGGACACGTATTGCGCATGCCTATCCAGCGTTACCCCGTCGTGCGTTGTTTGCGGTTGCTGAACAGGGCTGGAAGAGACGGTCTGGTGGACAGACTACTACATGGAGAAGCCGCATGAAAAAGCTGACGAAACAGTTGGCCTCGGCCGGTTGTTGTCGACTACCTGGTTGGGGTCCGAGAGATGCGGATACTTGTTGACTGAAGACTTTGGAAGCCATGGCACAAGATCGATGTCAATGGCGGACGTGTGCATCGGTTTGTTGCGGTGTCCCTTCTTCCTCCTCTTAAAAAAGAACAAACTGAAAAAGGTCAAAAACTGTGAGTGATAAACTAGACAAAAAAGCTTTTGTTATTCATATATAATCCCCCTTTGAGTCAGAAGTAAGCAAATGCGCGAAGAATATTCTTTTCGATAATTCTCATCAAGCGTGTACAATTATGAAGCAAAAATTTTGGAGAGAATAATGCCCGTAAGGGTAATATGAAACAGGTGATCAAGGCAGGTCAAGTTCAAGGCCAAGGTAATTTCAGAGCCTGTAGCAGTGTGCGCTTTGCTATTTGTAAGAAACATGTGAAAAGACGAAAGAGAGGCGATACAGTAAGTTGCTCAAAAGCTTGGAACCTTGCTCACCTGAAACAAAGTTCCCCACCAATCCCGATAGATATGTGCATAATCTCTCTAGCCAGCAACTGAACCAGCTACATTTAGAAACATTGGCACTTGGGCCAGAACAGCTTAAGAAACATTTGTTGAGCATTGCTGTCAAGGTTCTAAAACCAGAGCTGTGCAAACAGCGCACACTGCTACAGGCTCTGAAATTGCCTTGGCTTTGAACTTGACCTGCCTTGATCACCTGTTTCATATTACCCTTACGGGCATTATTCTCTCCAAAACTTTTGCTTCATAATTGTACACGCCTGATGAGAATTATCGAAAAGAATATTCTTCGCGCATTTGCTTGCTTTTGGTACTGTTGTTCTTCTCTTATTATTCATACTGTTTTTCTATTCAGCCATGATTCCGATGGCACAATATCTGTACCATAGGTTGTGTGTCATATATATATATGTATATGTATATGTATATATATATATTTATATATATATATGTATGTATGTATATATATAGACTCGAGAGTTTAGAGGACATGCTCGCAGTCTACAGCAGTGGCGCGTCTGTTGCCTTCTCTTAATCGGACTGCCTGTTTTAAGTGTGTCTAGTGCTGAGTTATCTGCGGGGTAATGGCTAATTATGACGCGGGGCAGTAGGAGCCGCAAGGAAGCTGTCCCGCTAATGCCGCCTTATCTTCGCACGATAGCCAGCTATTTGTGACGGAATGTTGCTAACACAAGGTGTAGCCGCCATGACCCAGAATGTTTGATTAGGGCATTAAGACTTCAGGTAAGCTCCCATTTTATTGTTCGTTATTACTTAGGTCATCATGGTTGTATGACAGGGAAGTATTAGTTCAAATGACTGATGTACTGCTGCTGTTGTTATTGCCGTTGGATCCGTAGGTCTTCCAGGATGATGACTCAAAGATTAGAAGTGCCAGTAGCTTAACACGCTTGAAAAAAAATGGCTGTTTGACGAAAGATTCATAGTACTGCGTGGGCAGGATACTGTCACATTGCCCAGGCCTAGATAGGAGAACTATTAGGGATTTTTTACCAAAACCTTTGGTTAAAAAACCTGAGCGCAAAGCAGCGGGTTTGGCAGTGGACTACAAGGAGTATGTTTTAAGGAATAAGGAGCCACCCTCATTCCAACCCCCAACCTGGAGGACAAGGTGGCTGTTTGCCTGGCCTCTACCCATTGACCAATCTGGTATGAGTGGCTCTGAAGGTGCAAAAAAGCACCACTCAGCATAGCTCAACGGATCACTGAAGCACGCAAACCATCGTATTACAGTAAGGTCCAGCCTCATTGCGAAGCGGCTCTGGACAGATTACCACTGGCTGTCAGTCAATTCGAGCTTTGCCTTGCATCCTCGAAGTGCAAAGCGTTCCTCCAGGATTGAACTGGATCGTCTCTTGCGCTGACACTTGGTGGGGATCAGCTAGAAGTCGATCAAAAATTCAACCACCTGGGGAGTTGTATCAGCGCCTGTGGGATCGAAGATGAGATCACGAACCGTGTAGAGAAAGCTCAAGGGGCTTTTGTTAACTTTCGCCACTTAAGGCGACGGGGCGCGACATTA